ATGCAGCTGTAAGAATATTACCAAAGTGCAAGAGAGCAATCTTATCATGATGCTTGTACAGAGTCTGCTATGAACATGTGCTGGGGAGTTTCATGAGCAAGACTGTGCTTCCAATTACAACACTACAGAGTTGTAAGTGGGACCTTCCTAAGACCCTGACTTTAGAGTCCTATACATACTTGGCTCCTGAGGGACAGGTGTATGTGCTAAAGCCCAAAACAGGAATTCTTAAATACATCCCCAATTCCTTGGTCATAAAGACCATATATCCTACTGAAAGGGGATTGCATTACCAAGGGCCTGAAACAAGCACTAATTCTGTGAAACCTTTTGTAGGTAATACACACTTTCAAGACTTTCCCCAAAGCTGGGGACTCCCATTCACTACTCCCATCTTTGATAACATAACAAGCAACACAAAGCATCTTCTGAAAAGAGGTTTTTAAACATACACACTTTATTCAGCAAAAGCATGACAAAGATCCCCGTGACATCTTTTTCCAACAATTTTTCTACTCAGCCCTTTGTATCAAGTCCCAAGATCATCTCTTCCTGCCCAGTTTTGCCTTCTCATTGAAGAATCATTAAAGCAGGCCCTATTCTTCTGTACCTTCCAGTTTCTTTTGTCATACGATCTTCCAGCCAGGACCTCAAGGCTGGCTACCATGCTTTTAAGTCCTGGCCTGCAAGACAGCTTTCTTGCAACTTAGTCATTTCTTTCAAAAAAAGCTGCTGCAGCACCCAGACCAGGTTATTCAGGACCTGGTCGCCCTTTCACATCCTTGCTGAGTCTTCTCTATGTTGCTCTGCACCTCTTAACATTTCTGTAAATGCAGTCCATCAGGGAGGTAAGAAGATAACAGAGAGGGCACAAAACAGTCTCAGGGCACAAAGACATACTTAGTGTTGGCTGTGGACAGTGAAAGCGATAACCAGCTTACATACAGCAATGATGACTTCAGTTAGCTGTTGACAAGTTTTCCAACAATAGCCTGCCTAGGGAAGACTGGAGTCCCCATCACAAGAAATTTTGATGAACAACTTAAACAAACACGCTGGGAATACTTTAGATTGAGATGACATTGGCTTAGGGTAGAGAGGCATAGGGCTACATCACCTCTCACAAACCGTTCATCTTGTATTATCTGTTAAAATGGTGTTTGCAATCTGGAAGAGATACATACAAGAACAAATTAAAGAGAAAATGTGGGGACTGCACATCAATCAGCAGTTCCTTTGGGAAGTTATGTTAGAGCATTTGCAAGCAAAAAAGGGAGGAAGATGAGTAGAAGATTAGTGATTGCAAAGCCATGTAACAGAAAAACATTCTCAAGTAGTTTCCTGCTGGTACAGAGACAACAATAGCCAGTAAATAACCAAGCTGCTGTCAAAGGCTCAGGTCAGGATCTGTCAGCACTGCGAGCTATTTGCTCAAATACGGATGGATTTCCAGGAAGACCGTCCTAGGAAAAGTGTCAGAATATCCATTTTACACATGCAGAGATGCTGTTGTCCCCAGTGATTTCAATATATCCGAAATGAGAACACAAGGAGACTGCAATAGTCTGGTCAGCCATCTGATTATATCAAAGTGACCAAGTCCATCCAAAGAGAGTCGATTCCTTCCCCTTGCAATCCAAACTCAGGCTTTTGTTAACAGGTCACCTTCTCAGCCCGGACAGCACAGTATCACCTCCTTCAGAGCATACTTAAACACAGGATTCTTCTGTAATTGCCATTTCTGAACATCTGACTCATATTTGTCAGGTGGATAGTGTTTGCTGTCCAGTCAGGAGGATTGTTTCTAGAGTCAGACTCCTGCAAACATTCAAAGTGTGCAAACAAATGAGTATTACATTAAAAAATTGCAAAAGAATACCATAGGCACTGTGGAGCCCCCAAAGAGATGGGACAGGAGGAAGACAGGGAGACCTGCCTGCACAGGAGAATTACAAAGGGCATGGAGAGTCTAAAGGCATATGGACAGGTCAAGTCTCAACCCTGTGATTCAGGGACTATGAAATTTTGATCAACAATTAGGAAGATAGTTATATTACAAATATAAGGGAAGAAGTAGTCTTGTACATAAATTAAGAAACAGAATTCAACTACATAGTGCACACTATTCACCAGTTCATGTTCACCTACTTGCTCATTCATCCCAAGTAATCACGTTTAAAGGCCTTCATTCATGGTCAGGCAGGATTACAGTTTAAGCTTACAAACCCCACTCCAGGGCTGGAAAAAAAACCATATCTGTGTTAAGATGAGCCCCTACAGCTACACTTCACAGGCAGATTTCAAATGGCGCTCCCCTACAGAATTGCAAAGATCACACCTACCTTCTGTATGGGACCAGTGTAAAATCACCACTTCTTACAGACTGATTCTGACTAAATACCAGGTTTGCACTGGTCTGCCAAAATCAGAGAACACTGTGCCCCTTACTCAGCTGCTGTGTCAGCAAAGCACTTTCAAATTCGCAAGGACAGGCAGCAAGGAGGATTTGAGGAGCCATAATTTTAGCATTAGGAACGTTGGTTCTCACCATGCCTTCAGGAGGCAGCTGGGTCCACCAGACAGACCTTCCTGTCAAGCTTCAGCATCTGGAACAGATCACGGAGCTACAACGCAGACACTAGCCAGGGTCTGACAATGTTTTCACACCACGCCCTTCAAAACCAAATTGAAACTAGACCCACCAGTGCCTTGACCTCTGGGTCAAGGTGAGCCAGCTAACTCCCCACAGTCCCTCTTCTCCTATGCATTTGCCCTCGGTCAGAAGGTTTCATTCTGATTTCATTTCCACCCCCGGCACAGCTGACAGAACTACATGTGAGGCTAGATTAAAATAACTGACCTGCTCAAGACGGCAAAGGAGCAAATGCCAAGCTGTCCCATTTTGTATCACATACTCAGTCCTAGGAGGACTGCATGCCAAGGCTAGGAAACCCAGGATAAGTCCCAGCCATGTAGTAGCAGCAGTGGTGCAGGCATAGTGACCCAGTCTGCAGCATGGGCAGGGCAGAACACCCTGCTACAGCACCTACAGACACATCCTTGGGTAAAGCAAGAGGCAACAGGTTCACCTTGGTAGTACTGTTCTCTGAAGGCCCCTTGTCACAGAGGCATCCCTTCTGCATACTCAAATACACACCACACCGCTTGGCAACCTCTAGCAGTGTTTTCATGTAGGTAGACCAGGATTAGGAATCAGGGCCCCAACTTTCAGTTCCTTTCTGTAGGCAAGAGATGACATCACTGAAAGCAGTAAATAGGCAGGTGTATTAATGAAGCTATCCAGAGCCCTACCTGAAAAACTTTAAGCCCATTCTTTCCATGTTGTTCTTGTTACTCTTATATCTAACCAGATGCATGTTTGTAATCCTTGATGCAAAGCCTTTCTGCTTGTAATATTACACAGTTACGGCAAAAAGTGAAGTCTCAGGGATTACACTGTTGTCACAAGTACAATGAAAAAAAAAAAAAAAAAAAAAAAGAAGATAGAATGAGAGCCAGGAGTTCCACTCCCCTGACAGCACTAACTGCTGGAAAAATAAAAATACTCCCAGCTCTTAAAGCACTGAACTATTGTAGGAATAATACCTAAATAGTAATGTCATTCTTCACACTTCAAGCCACAAAACCCACAACCTGTATGAAACTAATTCTGTTCCATTCCTTACTTTCAAGGCCTGGCTCTGAAATAATTAATACTTCATATGAAACTGTTTGCAGAGCATGTTCCAGAGTCTGCATAAGGATAGTGCCAAGAAAAAAAAAAACAACTGGGGTCAGAGAAGACCACTTTATTCCAAGAACAAAGTGTGTCTGGTACTGAACACACAGCCCTCAGCCACTACACTTTGCATTCGAGGTGAGAATTTAAGAGTAGAAGCTCTCTGGCTCAGGTGAACCGCATGTGTCTGGTTTGAAAGCCCATCAAACACATAGCAGAGATGTGGATACTCAAGCAAGTGGTGCTCCTTTTCACTCTCTCCTCTGGTGACAGTATCAGTCCTGATCAGCTGAGAAATAGTCAGGGTTTTGCAATGGCCATCTCAGAAAAGGGCGGCACCTCCAGGGTCCACACAGCCCATTACAGCTACTTTGTTTTGCTTTACTTTACACACACCTTCGTAACACAGAAAACAAATGAGACATCAACAAGAATAACCCCTTGTCTGTAGAGACTTTACAACCTCCTTTCTCCCTTAATACTGTAACTGCTCATAACTCTTCCTCCTCCCCTTTTTCCTTCTCAAACACACACAGGAAGGATTTCATTTTTAAAGAACCATTTTAATAATGTCAGACAAAAATCAAAGGAAGAAACCACAAATTATAAAAATACTTGATTCCATCATCTTAATCTTTTGTTGTTTAAATCTCACCAAGGAGTTTGCATGATTGACATCAAAACCATAAGAATCAAAAAGAAGATTCTCTCTGCTGCAGAAAGTCAGCTTTACGAAGAGACTTTGTGCATCTTTGCAAATACCAGGCACTTACAAAGACCATCAGTTTACTGGAACAAAACAGAAGATGTGAATTAACGACTAAAGAGAGAGTTAAAATTCTTTAACTTAAAGCCTTCCACTTCCAATGTGCTGGCCTATGAAAACAGGTACTCCAGGCCCATTAGAGGAAAGGGGGGGGGGGAAGGAAAAAAAAAGGAAAAATGGCTTATTTTAAGACTACATTCTGCAGGCAGGTTAATCAGAGGCTATGGTCCAACCGCAACAGCCTAAATTTTACGTATGTCCTCGTACTTATCAATTTACTTAAAATCTTCAGAGATAGCAGAAAGGAAGCAGTAAATTCACTTTCCAAAAAGGGACAGATGTAGACTACAAGGTCCCTCTCCATGTTACTGCTGTTTGGACAAGCTTGCATTTGAGTGCTCTCTTCCACAGTTCTTCTAACTGCTCCCCTAAGAAACCAATGGAAATTTTTCCAAGGTCACTTGCATGGAGGTGAAAAAAAAAAAAGAGGTCTGTTCAATGTTGGCAGCGAGCCCATTCATTGTAAAATGATACTGATACTAACCAGGTGATAAAATCAGCTGAAAGTGTCTAGTCTATTGGCAGCTTTGACCTACCAGTCCACATGAGTAAAACCAGCAAGCTAGTGGGACTCCGCACCCCTTTTGTAGGCTCCTCTCCAGTTACAAAACATGGTAAAAAAAAAAGTGTAAGAGAGTTCCTGTAATGTAAGCAGCCTACAAGGACTACATTTTTAGTAGACTGATGCGAATGTTATCTTCCAGTTGAGTTCAATTTCACAGTCCATGGCACATTCTAAAGCTACAGCTTTTATTTTTTAAGAGAATTTCAGTATTTAACTCTGGCAGAAAGTCTTTAAAAAGTTGCCTCAGCTAAACAACTTACTGATTAACACTGAGTCTTTAAAAAAGGGAAGTATGGTTTGAGAGAAAGGGAAGCAAAGTGGGGGGAAGATAGGGAAATACTCAAATTATTATAGATGGTTCAGCCATATGTCTCTAGCAAAGAGTTGGGGGGCATAATTTTCATACTGTGTGGTTGCATTGATGTTAGGTTTGTCTACAAATTCTATCTCACACGCCTGAGTGCTGCAAGGAGAACGCTCCAGCTCCAACACTGTTATGTTGTTTGGCACCGATGAAACAAGTATATTCCTTGGAACATAAAGGGTCAACTGAGGACCACGTGCTGGCCAGTAGCGACCAAGATTAAAGCCGTTGATCCAAATTTGCCCCTGTTAAGAGAGAAAGAAAAAAATAATGACATTTTAATAATTTGACAGAGATCAAATGACAAAATAGCTTTAAGCATAATGCTCTTCACATAACTGAATTTCCTCCATCTTTCAGTTTGACAGAACACAAGGATAGAAAAGCTGTTCAAGAAAATGCTAGTGACAGTCAAAAGAATCTAAATTCCCTGATGAGTTAAAGCCATCATTAATATTTGAAAAAAAAGCAGTCAAATACTGCAGTAATTCCAAATATGACAACACTTAGGAAAACAGAATTGCAGGTTCCTGGCACCGAATTTTGCACCAAGTTTAAGACCAAAGCAAACCTGAAAACTGTATTTGCTTGAAGCTGATTGTTAAAAGGACAAAGAACTCACGTAAGAAAAAAGCAGATCCTATTTCTATTGTGACTCTCTGTACAAGTGTAGGACTACAGCACCTTGGTAGTCCCTTCCTGTTGCATGATTTCATTAAAAAGATACAGCTTGTCTGGACACCTGAAATTCAGATGTCTATTATATTGTAACAGCTTAGTCCACAAAAGAGCTTGTGAAACCACAATGCAAGAGAGTACTGTATTTTGTTGTAGTTACCTACAAAATCTTTGGACGTCTGCTAGCATTAAAGTTCAATGAAATTGTGGTTAACTTGGCATACAAACTCTTTAATTTACTTTTCACAGTGGAACTGGCCAAAAACCCTAGTTCAAAATACTGTTCTAACATTATAAATACCTTAAGTTTAAAAGATAAAATGAAATTGGGCAAGGGGAAAAAGAAAAAAGTCAAAACAGTCATTTATACACCACAAAATAAACACATTGAAGTGACACAAATGCAGATTTTTCCAAAAGTCTATAAATTGGTGAGTTGCAGAACGTTTAGTAAAACTGTAAACAGACTCCTAGTGCGCTGAGCTGAATCTTGGTTCATTAAGCAAGACAGAAGGGAGGATATACAGCTGATTTGGACAAATAATTTGCTTTTACTCCTCCTAAGTGTCCTTTCACCATAAGTCAGAAGAGAGTTCAGTGGACAAGAAAAGGGATGGGAACAGATAATTTTATCTGTGTTTTCCCTCTTGCTTTGGCCTTTGGTAATTTGAACACAGAGGGAAAAACAAATTAACTCACGGCATTGATGTACACTGATAGAAATAATAAAATAGTCTGAATCAGTGGAAAGGATGGACTTTTACTGCACTCTGATTTATAAAATTGTCTGGGACAGCTGAAATCAGAATAATACTTTTAAAGGATTTACAGAAGCACAATTGTAATATAGCGAGTATTGCTGTTCAAGCTGTTTTGGAGGTATTTTTCTTGTATTTTCTTTCTCAAGTATTTATGAGAACAAGTTTTATGAAACTTGCATGAGAAATTTTATAAGGAGTTGGTACATTTGCAAAAGCAGGTGAGTTATTTCATCTCTGTATCCACTTCCGTGGTATAAGATCCTATCTTGCACAGTCTGCCAAGGTGTTAATAAACTTTGCCCTCAAACTTTTTTTTTTTTAAATCGGGTTTATCTTGCTTTGTGGCTTGTTTCTGCTGTATTAAAAGGCAAGGGAAGAGCTATTTATTCAAGCTCACTACTTCTGTAGTAGTTTTAGAAGAAAACATGGCATTAATGCAACCTCCACACACACAAGATAAATTAGCGAGTGCACCACTAGACAGTAGCCTACCTACTACAGAGAGTGACCGTAACCCTGTGGCAAGTAGGAGTTTACTGTAGGAATGAACTGCATTAGAGTTCTAATGCAGGAGGTATAAACAGGTCTCTGTTCCTGATCTTAATCAGTCACTGGTTGTAACTCATTTTTCCAGTAAAGCTATGAACTTAATTTCTCACTACCAAACTGTCTTTATTAACACTGCAGTTTCTAAAGACTGCACACTCAGGAATTTGCATGCCCTAAACCAGCAAATCATTACACTATACACACTACCAATAAACATGCCCTAGACAAAATAAAGGAAGGAGATCTGTATCTTCAGGAACAGGATTTCCTTCAGCAGGGTCAGCAAATACAACCCATGATTCCACAGAAAAACAAGAACAGTCCTGATTCGAAATCCTCTTTTCTGTCAAAGAAAAAAAAAAGTCCAATAAATCTAACCATACATTTAGAGGCACGTATGCTTAAGGACATTGTGCTTTCTCAAGGGAGGGTAGAGAAAGTTTTGTTAATAGTGAAGGGTTTAAAAACCACTGAGGGCAAGCAAGCTACAACACAGGTCATGACTGTTAATGCTGCACCCTTCCTTTCAGACTATCCAGCATGCCACATTCCTTGTCTTAATATGCAAAGGCAGGACCATCATTAGAACTATATGTTTTCTTGGCAAGTGTTGTTTCCGTGGTTTTCCAACTACTCAAGTAGGTGAGGTTTGACCCCTATTAAGAGTCCCTCTCCACACCTTGGCATCAGCAATGTATACACTGCCACTCAAGGAATTAAGGCCCAGATACAGCAGGACATAAGTGGAATTTACACCCTTAAGGCCCTCTGCCTTAAAGGCATTTGCTTATTGGTAAAGTTATCGGGAAGTCTCGGTTTCCACACAGAGTATCACCTCAGTCTTACTACTCCCAGGTCTCTTATTTAAAACTTTGGTCCAATCCATATAAAGCTTGAAGGATCAATTCAATAGCCCTACTTACAGTTCATCTGGGATCTCTTCACCTTCACTTCTTTAGACAGTATACAAACTATGTAAAACAGAGGTTTCTACAGATCAGAGGAAAAGATTTCCACCACTATATAAGAATTCTTGGACTGGTTTGCCAACAGGCAGGTATGGTCATCTCACTTCCTGAAGAAGATTTATGATTCTTGGGGTCACAGAATTTACTGCAAAAGTCTCAGGTTCCAGTTCCTGTGCAAAGAGCTATTTTGGGATTTTATTCAGTGATTGTGTAAGACGTGCACATATATAGGAACAGGGACTAAGTCAAGACTTCCTCATCCAAGCTCAGTGCCAGCAACACTAAAAGCGCTTGCAATGAAATCAGTCTTCTGCATATTGGGAAGTGCTTTAGCCACTACAATGCCATAGGTAGATCACCAGCAACCCCTTCTCCTATTCCGTTTTAATAGTAGTAAATTAATTGTTTCAGAAAGGCATAGTTTTGCTACCTAACACCATCACAGGCACTTCCCTGAAGCCTGAACTTCTGGCCAATACTTTGGCCTCCAAGAGGAGTGGTACTTTAGTGCACACATTCTGCTCTCTGTGCCTCCCACCAGCTAGTTGAGCTGGTCCTTACCCATCCTGCATGCTGGCTGTTTCAGACATAGTGCTGTGAAAACACACTCTTTGCTGCTCTAGCTACCCTCCAGCCTATGAGAAGTTCCTATTAACAGAGATCTGCCCACAGGCTTCTCACAACAGTGCTCTCTGATCCGTTCAGTCCAGCTACAGGTACCCTCCAGAAGACAAGCAGTAACGTCTTCCACACACTGGATCTGTATCTATGGGCACAACACCAGCAGTTGTGTCCAGCACTCTCTGTGCTTTGTTACAGGATCCATAGTTCCTCACACAGCACCACCAGTATGTTCTTAGTTACTTTTAATCAATTAATATAGCCAGGAAAGCATCCTGTAGCATCTCACTTTCTCCAGAATAAAAAAATTATTTTATCTCGGGGCATGTATTCACTCCCTCCCTCCAAAAAGCTTCTTCTGCTCCACATCTCAAAACAAAAAAATCCTACAACTAAACGCAGCATTTCTAAACAGCCTGAAATTTCATCTTTCTCACTGTTGAAAAACTAGGGTTTGGGTTTTTTTGTGACGCTCCACTTTCTAGACCAATACCATGTATCTTTTGAATATATGTTTCCCTTCTCTTAATGGTTTATCTCCAGATTTACTTAAAGGACGGAATCCATTTCCTCATCGTTTAAATATATTTGAGACACCCCACCACTACAACCAACTTCTACCCATGCAAGAGAGGTGGACTTTGGTTGTCCATAGAAGTTTCAGTAGCTTTGAGTGGACTTCAAGTTTTTACAGCAAGAAGTTGTACCTTTGTCCAGCCAGGAAACTTGACATAGGTGTCTTGAGGCAAGTCTGGAATCCCTCCAGGAATTGAAAGTCTACCAGTGTAAAAAGTAGGTGCTTCATAACTCAGTGGATTGCCAACAGACCTCTTTGGTCGATAAAGGTGACTGTTAATGTCATGGTTCACTGCTCCATCTATGTCTAGAGGATAGATTTCCCATTCAACAAGTATATCTTGATCAAGAGTTAAATTTGAAACCAGACCCTAGGAGGAAGAAAAAAAACAAACCCAAAATATAATGTTATTTAAGTTATTTGGCTGCAAATATAAATCAGTCAGGAATAAAAACTGAATCCAAGTACTTGCAACAGCTGCCAATCTGTGTATGAAAAAAACAAGCATCTGGTCTTCAAGTTATAAGCTTTGCTTAAGAATAAAGGGTTTCATTTATTGTCTGTGAAAGACCTGTTTCAACTCTTCAAAACTCTTCAAAGTTTTGAGCTTTCACTGATGTCCAAGTTTTTTTTCAAACTTTTTTCCCCGTAACTGTGAAAATTTCTGTTTTGCTTTAACATGAATGCGATTCCAAAACCTGCGGCTTAATAAAAAGCAGAAAAAGCATGAAACACTGTAAGTCTGAGATACCATCAACAGATTTGGTAACACTGAGTCACTAACCCAAGACATTAACCTGCACAATAGCAGAGAAAGCAGTATTTACTTCCTACAAGTCTTCTACAGCTAACATACAGTATCACAAAATCAAGGCACATGTTTTGTGGCCCTGATTCAGTGAAATACTTTAAGCTTACAGTCAGCTTGAAGCTCCCAGAGTTCTGTTTCATTTCTATGGAACCATGCGTGCAGCATACCAGGGTACTCGCACAATGAATGCAAAAGCAAGGGAAGGTCATGATTTAAGAAGAGTGAAAGGAACATTAAGTTACCCCTGCACACATCCTAATTGTTATAATAATAGTTTCTAAAGTGGTGTTCCAGTGCAATGTAAGGGGTTGATTTTAAGCCAATGTTGCTACATCCATATAATTGCTTGAATAGACCCTGCACAAAAGCTGTTTTTCAGTGCAACTTAAGTTCTGTTGCAAACACCACATGTCAAACAGGAACAAGCAAAACCGCATTTTCTATGGTCTTGGAGGGCTGATACCACGTTGTGTGTCTGTTCTGATGTCTAATAAACATTGCACAGACTTCACAAGCCTCATCATCAGTACAAGCACTAATTGGTTTTCTCTTCCTTTACCTAGATACCCACTTTACAGAACATGAACTTATTTTTCTTATATCAAAATAAAATATCTGCACAGAGTTAAGTGGCAAAACTTTTCTATACAACCTAGACTTTACTCTGTCTAGCAATCAACTGACGTAATGCAACATAACTTTAGCCCAAACTTTCTAACCTGTCTCCCTAAGCCCATCTTTAGGCACTATGAACGGTGTGATTTTTCAAATGAGATTAAGTGCCTACTAAGCATTCTTACTTTTGTCTGCATAAGAATGCATATTTAACAGTCCAGATATGGATAAAAATTTTCTAAGTAAAACAAAGATATAGGTGGCAGTTGGGATGTGAAAAAATACAGAAAAAACAGAAGCCACACTCTTCCTTTGTGTCCTTCAACAACAAGGCTTAGATCAGCAGGATGTTTTAAAACCAAAATCCTTTTAAGATTCCCTCCCAAAAGCCAGATGCCTAGTTCCACTTCAAGCCTAAAAAAGTGATAAAAAACCAGCCAAACAAAACCCAGAAAATCTACACTATTTGCTTAAAAATGCAAGGCTTCACAAGGTAGGAACCTCTTGCCCTAAAGTTATTTTTGAAAGTACAAAATATCTAAAACCCAAGGTATAATTATTCCCAGTTTTCAAAATCAACACAAAGAACAGCATGAGGGAGGGATTCTATGTGAAGAAGCAACACACATATTTCAAAGCTACCCAAGAAAGGCTGACTCTTCTACACAGAAGGATCCTGCTTAGAGATTATTCTCACAATGCACATGTCTACTAAACTTGCTTTCACTCATTAATCTTTAAAAGATTGAAACCCTGGTCTAAGTGTGAATTTCAGCCCAACCACAGCAACACTGAGCACCTCCCTAATCCAACCTCTAACCCTCTATTCTGTTACCTTAATTTAGCACTAAGCACACAGGTTTCTTTATCACCTGACCTGTTATTAAATAAATAAAGGCAACATTTCTGCTGCATCAACATAAAGGCAAAATACTGGGGAACTAGCTGCCCTCTCCTGCCACTCAGATAAAGGCAAGGTACCTTGGAAAGACAGTATGAACAGAGTTGGCACTACTGCTACCTGCTGAATTTCTATGCCACAAGCAAAGAAAAGCCTTAGTTGCTGATGCTTTTAATTCAGAGGCTTTCATACATCCTAAAACTTCCCACACATATTTAGCTTGTTCTGATCAGAATTTAAAGAACTGCATGCTTTCCAAAATGTATGGCAGGGGAAACTTGACCAGAGTTTGTGGTCTCATCAACTAGGCTAGTCAAGATGCATCCACACTTGGGTTTACTTTTTCCCCCTACTTACAACCTTAAAAATCCTACTTCCTCACAGCATATGTGCCCTCTGCTAACTAAATGGTACTGTTCAGGCATAGATCTTGTCCTGTGGTGTTTATCTTTCTCCTGCTTTTGCATCCAAACTAACCAAGAAACACTTTGGACAAGTCTTAATTCTGCTCTGAGACACCTATCACAGACAGAATTTAGACTGAGAGGAAACAGAAGCTTCTAATTTACCTGGCATCACGCTCACACCAAAAGGCACCACAATCGCCAGACAGCTATTAATCTGGACAGTCATTAAACATTTGACAAGCTTTCTGAAAGAACACCATCAAATTAATTTAGGCCAAGTCAAATCTAGCAGTTAGGGGGCTGCAAATCTCTTCTTAATTGTAAAGCTTTGTAATTACTTCATTATTACTTGTGGCCTAGTAGTATCAAAAACTAAAAAAAAAATTAGTGCTGTGGCACTAACACAACACAAACACAACACAAGACTGGCCTCTACAACACTCCTCTCTTTAGCAAATACCACACAGCACTGGGGATCCCATTAAATCTAAAACCAGAAAAGTTTCCTTTTTGCCCCTGCCCTTCCTAGTATTACATTAGTGGCACCTCTACTGCATTGGGTTTACATGGCAAGGTTTGGTAGCAGGGGGGTTGCAGGGGTGGCTTCTGTGAGAAGATGGGAGAAGCTGCCTCCGTGTTGGACAAAGCCAGTTCCAGCCAGCTCCAGAATGGACCCACTGCTGGCCAAAGCTGAGCCCATCTGTGACACTGGTACTGCCTCTATGATAACACATTTAAGAAAGGGTAAAACAAAACAAAACAAAACGACCTAACTGTGTAGCAGCTGTGAGAGAGGAGTGAGAAAAATGGGAGAGCAATAGCCCTGCAGACACCCAGGTCAGTGAAGGAGGAGGAGGAGGTGGTCTCCAGGCATCAGAGCAGAGATTCCCCTGCAGCCCGTGGTGACACAGGTTGTCCCCCTGCAGCCCATGGAGGTCCACAGTGGAGCAGATATCCACCCTGCAGTTTGTGGAGGACCCGACACCAGAGCACGTGGATGTGCCCTGCACAAAGCTGGAGCCCATGGAGAGCCCACCCTGGAGCAGATTCCTGGCAGGAGCTGTGGAGAGAGGAGCCCATGCTGGAGCAGGTTTTCTGGCAGGATTTGTGACCCCACAGGGACCCACGCTGGAACAGTCTGTGCCTGAAAGACTGCACCCCATGGAAGGGACCCATGCTCGAGCAGCTCGTGAAGAACTGTAGCCCGTGGGAAGAACCCACATTGGAGAAGTTCATGGAGGACTGTCTCCTGTGGGAGGGATCCCACGCTGGAACAGGGGAAGAGTGTGAGGATGAAGGAGTGGCTGAGATGAAGTGTTATCAACTGACCACGTCCCCTATTCCCCATCCTCCTGTGCTGCTTGTGGGGAGGAGGTAGAAGAATCAGGAGTGAGGTTGAGCCTGAGAAGAAGGGAGGGTGGAGGAGAGGTGTTTTTAAGATTTGTTCTTATTTCTCATTATCCTACTCTTGTTTAACTGGCAATAAATTAAATTAACCTCCCCAAGTCGAGCCTGTTTTGCCTGTGACGGTAATCACTGAGTGATCTCCCTGTCCTTATCTTGACCCACAAACCCTTCATCGTATTTTCTCCGCATCCTGTTGATGGAGGAGGAGTGATAGAGTGGCTTGGTGGGCACCTGGTGGCCAGTCAAGGTCAACCCACCACAGCCACTCATGTGGGGACGTGACAGTCCCACAGTGCAGCAAGGACCCAGAAGCATTCAGAAGCTTTCTGGTAATTATCTCTAGGACCTGATCAGTCCAAATCTAAACTGGCAATTTTTCATGGTAAAGTGCTTGTGAAACAGGTTTTCCTAGCCACGCTGAAAATACTGCAAGGGTACCCTGCTGACAAATGAAATGGGACATGGAGAGACATACAAAAGTGTGTATATATATATATACACGTATACACACAAATACAATCCCAGGATTCACGAGCCTCAAAGTACAGCCAAGATCTAGACTAATTTCCAACCTATTTTTGGAGTTTATCCAAACAGCTTTGTACATTTTAAAATGTTAGCTACAGACTCAACTCAACCTGAAAGTCTTGTTGGCGACACTTTGGCTGACAACGTAATTGAATCAACAAAAAGAATTAAAATATGTCTGTCAGTTTTTAATTCCACATTGATTTTGGTGACTGGAAAATTCAAATGAAAACTAGTAAGTAGTTATATTTTGAGGTAAAGTTAAAGCTGTGTAATCCTGATTTTTTTGCTCTAATTCACTACTTTCTTTTTAACCTGTGGAAAAGAGGAAAAGCCATTGCAATCCAGTAACTCAATTGATTTTACTTACCTTAAAGTCATTATTGTATCTACCAAAGTTGACTCGGCCCATATTCTCTACCAAGATGTCCAGGTTTGTTCCAGCCTTCCCAGTTATATTTATCATAAGCGATTTGTCCCTTTCAAGGACACCTTGAGGAACCTATATGAATTACACCAAGAGGAAGAAAACAATAATCACTGAAAACCAACAAAACCCTATTACTTGGCTCTTCAACTTGCTTGAAGAAAAGAAAGAGGACAAAGGAAACAAACAAAGTAAAAAAAAAAAAAAAATCCTTTCCTCCTCTTGCATGAGAGCGCGCACACACACACAAAAAGCTATGTCAATATTCACATTTCAGTACATCAACTGGATGTGCTATTAGGCAGCATTTGTCTGACACCATATCTTTCCTTAGCTGATTTCAACTAACTCAATCAACTGTCAGAATCCTAGTGGTTTTTGATGCACCTGATTCACAAAAAGCAAGTTCTCAAATTTAGTCTAGTGACTGAAAAGATTCTGGCGATATCCATGAGTAAAAGGAGCTTCATCTTCCAATTAAGACTGCATCAGTATTAAATTTTATTTATTCCCATTCCCATAACATAAGGAAAGAAGAGCTTGACCTGAACACAAAGGTGATAAGAGTCAGCACAGGTCAAAGATTAATCAAAAAAATAGATTATCAAAGTCCGTGAGTTGATATTAATTCTCATTAAGTAGGAACAAAACCCTGCTTAAGGGAAAAAAGGTAAAGTTCACATCCTGTACGATAAACTTTTTTTTTTTAACTTGCGGTCAGAAGCCAGTTTCATAAGGTAAGACATAGGCTCAGGCTTCCTCACCCTCAAAGGGGTGGGGGGGGGGGGGGGGGGGGAAAGGGGAGAAGATTAAAAAAACCAGACAAAATATGGAAACACTGTAGAAAGCCACCAGGCATATATATCATTAATGTATTTCATGAAACTGCACAAGTGAACCCTTCTAGGGTTTGGGGTTTTTTTCACTTAAGTCATGAATCTGTATAAACATACAAATATCTCAAAAATGGAAACAATTAAGTTTTCCTTAGAAATAACAGATAGTCATATTTTCTGAAATACAAATATGAACACTGAGTACAAATCAACTGTATACTTCCTTACTTCCTTCATCTGATTAAACAATCTTATCTAATAAAGTTGTTTTGGTAAGCTGGAGAAAGGAGAGGGGAAAAAAAAAAAAAAAAAAGGCAGACTGCATCCATGACTTTCGTGAAGGCCACTCATGGCAGAAACAAATACCAGCAAACAATGTTTACCCCATCAACAGAGACATAGGCACGATCATGGACTCCATTTAAAGGTGAAGACAGTTGTGTTGGCTCCGTACAGTTTTTTGGAAGCGTAGTTCTGTACAGTACAAACCCAAAATACTAAGAAAAGAAAAGAAGGGAGAAAACCCAAACAGATTAATGAACCAAGTCATTCCATAGCTTCAATTCAGGTCATGGGTTAGAAATATCCCACATTCCTGCCTACATGCTCAGATGGAAACATTAACTTTTATTCACCTCAGATAGATGCTATCACAGACACCAGCTTCAGATTAGAGTTCACTTTGACCTTTAAGTAATGGGTGTAAATTCCACAGAGTTTCCATTTTTAAATGTTTCATCAGAACATTTACGTAACTTTAAAAGATAAAGGTCTTGGCTATGAAGGTATTTCTTCAATAAAAACACAGCAGTGAATGACTGACAGTATTATTTCTTCATTAAAAACAGTGAGACAATAGCTGGAAAATCCCCTCCTAACTGAGTTTATATAACAAACTTGAAAGTGCACATTTGTCACCCAGTGCCCAGAAGTTGACATATTCATTAAGTCTATATTATCTATCAAACTAGACATCATCAGGAACATTTTGGAATATTTTTCACTAAGTTACCCATCAGGATATTAAAAAAAAAAAAAAAAAAAAGTCAGACATTAGATTTCTTCTAATCACAAATTGAAACACAAATTTTTTAAAACAAGGCAGAAAATGTATCATCCCTTCTACTCAGTAGCCACAAACCCATTTACTTTCTAGACTTGGATTAGAACATAAACCTGGCAGGAAGAAGTGAGAGTAAACAATTTCCATTCTGCTATAATTATTATATTTGCAATACATTTGCAACCATGTGCCCAGAAAAGGAGGGGGGGGGGGCGGGCAGGGAAGAAAAAAATTAAAAATATGCTAAGAAGCTCAGCTGGCTGCCCTCTTCTCTCAGGGGTCTTCCTAAGCAGAGTGCTAAGGGTGGGAAGGCCAGAGGATGAGAGAGAAAAGCCCACTAGAAATTACATCCAGCCACAACATACTACTTGCAGCTTCTTTCACACCTCTGTATTAGTGGCTTGGAAAAGAAAAATCTGAGCTTTGAACCCCTACTTGACTAATGCCATATCCCAGGCACCTGCTGAACTGCTTCCCCCACTTTTCCCTCCCCCAGCTACTACCAGCATCCCATTCTCTCCAAGTAGTTTATTCTAGCTGCAAGCAATTAGCACCAATGCTCCAGTCTCTGCTAAATGCAGCACAGAAGCAATCAAAGAGTCATGTAACCTTAATGGAAAGAGAGAGTCCCTCAGCAGTGAGGAAAAGATTGACTGTGAAGGAAGATATGGGAAGTCACCAGAATTGACAGGGAAGCTGATGCAGAGACTGACAGAGAGGGAGCATAGGAGAGAGCGGGAGTCAGCAAAAGCCACAGGAAAATGCAGAAAAATCTATTTTTCCTATCTCAACCAGTGGGGTGAATGACCTCGACAGTGGGTTGCAACAACTCTAAGAGGTTGCTCCCAAAGGTTTCTCTCACTGCATTCTCTTGCCTCACCATACATATAGTAAAAGGACTACAAGTAAGTAGGAGGCCCATAAAAGTGTCAAACAGATTGAATTCCCCAATCTCCGGGCCCCCTGACTTGTATGAGAAAGCAGTGTCTCAGCCACTGTGCTCACTCTGATAGCAAGTGAGGAGAGGCAAAGTAAAAACAGAATAAGGAAAATTAATAGTGAAGAAAAAGATAGATTAAAAAGGGCTCTTAAGAACCTGAAAATCAATACTTCAGAGAGGAGAAAGATAAAGGTGAAAGCCTGGAGAGCATACATACCTACATTCATGAAAAGAGGAAAACCTCAGGTGCAAAACAGGAGCACTGTAGAATATGGAAAGGTCTCCAATGCAAAAATCCTAGACACCTTTATAATACTATTGCTTCTGTGCTGAGATAAGACGTCAGACACTGGACATAAGAAGAATAATACCACAGAGGGTTGTTCAAATAAAGTGTACAAAGTTACTGCTAAGTGCCTACTGAAGGAAGCCTCACCTGCTTTAGCTGAACAAAGGTTAACGGGTAAGTGCTTTTCACTGGTCCAGCAGGTGACAACCTGTCAAGAGCCTCCACCACAGTGCCCACCTGCAGCGTAGAAAAAGCAGATATATGAAGGTCAGTAAATTTCAATTCAAATATAACAGCTTGCATATCCAGCCACCTAGTCAGCTAGCTGCATCTGTCCAGAAAGCAAAGAAATCTTAAGCCTTTACATCATCCTTACAGACACATTAATACTACAATACAGTACAGAGAACTGATGAACCCTGACAGAAACATGGTACATGTGGAGCAATGTTTTAAAAATCTAGATGTTCTAAATTTAACCCAGGAGTTTCTCACAAAAGTTCTATAAACAAATACAACTGCTCTGGACAATTAATATGAAACAACTATATTATCTAAATTTTGCTCAATTATACTTACAATCAGGCTAGGGAAAATGCCACTGATTTCCAGTGGGTTACTCTGGAATTCTTCTGAGCTAAGTAAGGATATGATTTGTTTCCATCAAGCGTTCTCTAAGATGAATATACCCTATTTAGCCTTAAATGATTTTAGAAACCCCAAGGCTGTAATTCAGTGTCACATATAAGTAGCTAGACTGATTTTAGCGAGACTGGGAGCAAAGTATAGGCTAGTCACATGCGCAAGTACCTTGCTGGATAAGGACTTACATGCATACAATTAAATTGCCTTTTGTTGCCATCTGCAATTTCCTTTTGCAACTACAGTTTTCTACTCAACTACAATTTCCTCTCAAAGTCCACTATCAATTTTATGTTAGTCAAGATGCACACAATATGCCTAGTGTCTTACAAGCTCAAAAAAAAAAAAAAATCAACTGCATTCATCTTTTTCATGCAAGATGTCAGTCTGTTTCACCAGAAGTACTGTCACTGTTCAGTGGTAGTTACACATCAGACATTCAAAATATTTCTCAAATGCTAATTTACTTTCAAATGCTTGAGAAAAAAAAACAGTAAAAAAAATTAGGCATTTAAAATCATGTAAAACTGTATGCTATAAGAGCATTCATATCAATACAAAATTCTGAGGCTACTTCAATAACAGAAGTATTGAATTTTTGCAGAGCATACGTGAAAGTCAGGAGTGCTGAAATATTATGTATTAAAATGTACATCACTGCAAAATGCTGTATGTGACAGAAGTCAGCATGAACCATCTATGTACACACAATTATTTCTTCAGTATAGTACTGGTTTTGGCTGGGTTAGAGTTAAATTTCTTCACAGTAGCTTGTACAGGGCTATGTTTTGGATTCAAGCTGAAAACAGTGTTGATAACTCAGGGATGTTTTAGCTACTGCTGATCAGTGTTTACCCAGAGCCAAGGCCTTTTCTGCCTCTCACCCCACCCCACCAGCGAGCAGGCTGGGGGTGCACAAGGAGTTGGGAAGGGACACAGCCAGGACAGCTGACCCCAGCTGACCAAAGGGATATTCCAGACCATATGATGTCATACTCAGCAGTAAAAACTGAGGGAAAAAGGAGGAAGAGGGAGATGTTTGGACTTACGGCATTTGTCTGGTCAAGTAACCATTATGCGTGATGCAGTCCTGCTTTCCTGGGGATGGCTGAACGCCTGCCTGCCTATGGGTAGTAGTGACGGAACTCCTTATTTTGCTTTGCTTGCATGCACAGTTTTTTGCTTTACCTCTTAAACTGTCTTTATCTCAACCCACGAGTTTCTGCACTTCTACCTTCTGATTCCCTCCCCCATCCCACTGGGGAAGAGTGAGTGAGCAGCTGTGTGGGGCTTAGCTGCCTACTGGGGTTAAACCACAACCAACATGTAGACATAGACCTAAATGGACTCTTGAAATGAGCTTATCTCAACTCTTTAGCTAGGAACAAGAAAGCAAAAGCAGGCCATAAGTATACAAAGGGTAATGACATCACCACCTGGAGGTCAGATCACCCTCACTAGTCCATAGCTAAGCATGTTCACCCTTGCAAGAAGGCTGTCAGTCAAATGATGGCTTGCAAAGTTTTGATGAAGGTAGTTTGCTCTTAGGTTTTCAGTTTAAGCATCGTACATAAAATAACAATCAGTTTTCACAGAGTAAAATTCCCCAAATGCTCTGGACTGTGTATGTGCTCCATTCCCTATCTTGCGCTCCTGTTAAAGCAATATGCAGCACTTGGCAGGCCACAGGCGAGACTGAACTGCCGGGTCTCATACAACAGCTGTGAAGCAAGAGATGAGTATCTTTGCACAGACACTGACAGAGTTGATTTATAGAACTAAACAACAATCCTGTGACCATTAATAGTCTTGGTCCCAAGTGGACAATGAAATTAGAAATTAAGCAGTATTAAGACACACATGGTCACTTGAATAAGCTACTAACTGGCAACGAGTGCTGCTTTGTGCCTTGCTGAACTGAGCATTAGCAGCTTGTACCTGTGCCTGTTTGATTTTTTTTTTTTTTAAAGTTCCTGCTACCAAAGGGGCTTCTGTTCTGAATACAGGTCAACCACATATGATTCACTTATGGACTGGGCTGGTAGAAGCTTGTTTCTTTGCAACTTCAGTGGATTATTTTTGTTCAGCTTTTCATTCCTAAGTGGTGCATACAAAAATAAAACCAAAACAAGATCTGTGCTTGCTGCAAGTTCCCATTGACTGCTACTTAGTGGACAATCGGTATCACAACAAACTTAACAGTAAATTTAAAAATTACAAACACTGTCAAGAATTTTTAAAAACCTCAACCTGCAAGACAACAGATTACTACTAATACAAAATAGCAGTACTTTTTTATCCTCCAGAGCAAGGTCTTCGAAACCAAAGTGTAAGATCAAGCATGAAAAAAAAACAAACCAAAAAAACAAACCCCAAACAGAAAAGCTCCAACAGGAATGATATCAACTACTGGCAGCATCCTGTTTGCTTAACCCCTTTCTACCACCAACTAATGTCAGTGTTGCCTACTACTTGCTATTGCTTGAGCTCTCCACATCCCAAGAACTGAGCACATCTCCAGAACCTATGAGTCTGCAGGTTGCAGTGCTGGGACAGGCATTTCCTTTGAGGGCCCTGAGGAGTGCTTGGTCACAAGTGGTGACCAGAAACTACCACCTGCTCACAAGCCTGCACAGACACACAGACACATTGCAGGCACTAAGACTCGTGCATTTCCCTCTGGAAAGGATGCTGCCCACATTCTGGGTCTTAAACCCCTAAATCCTGTCATCTTGCTCATATTTCTTGCGCCTATCTATTGCTGTTCTGCCCTTGCCTGCCCTCATTCCTCATCTTCAACACTTCTCTTTGGCATCTATGCAACAAAATTTTTTCCTTACTGCCTGCTTTTCTGTCTTCTGCTCTTCTGTAGCAATGTCAGTATCCCCAGCATCTTTTAATAAATTATATTTTTCCCCACCAGGAGAATTCTTTAAAATAATTAAATAGCTCAAAATGAACAACAATGAAGTGCTGATCACTGCCGATCAGTGAACAGCAGGGGAGCTTTTCTTTTCTTTTCTTTTCCCTTTCTTTTTTTTTTTTAATTAATTTTTATTTCTTTTCCCTCCCCAACTAGCCTGGGTTCCCCAACTATTTTCATCTGGGGCAACCTATTTGCAAACCTCCAAAAAACAGCATATCTGCCAGACAGCACTGCTAAGGGCAAAGATCTCTTTTCTTCAAGCTTAGGTCCTGAGTAGCTGATCAGGTACTTAAGGACTGAATATCTTGTGGGAAAAAAAAAAAAATAGAGAACAGTCTGCTCTGGTTACATGTACCTCTGTAAAGTACACCATATGACTCTTGAAAATAGTCTGGAGTCTCCTTTCCCTCTTCCTTTCTGCAAAAGTGTCAAGGGAGTTGGTTCACTGCAAGTAGATTCAATGCTCTGCGTTGTAGCCTGACTGCTGGACTTCAACTGCACAGTGAGGCTTCACACAGTATTTGTTTTAGCACTGTCACTGCAAACGATATAGCTGGGAAGTTTACTATAACCACAGCTAAGTCCTATCATTTAGAATATTCCCTCTCTGATATTCACCCAAATACATTCAGGCTCCTCCATACAACAAGGTGCACTGGATCTAGTTCCAGCAGGGGCTAGAACGCATCACGGAGTTGGGAGGATGGCTTTGGCTGGGACAGTACAAACCCTCTGTGATTTGAGACTCATCCTGTGTTGCAGGGTAACGAAGCAGAGGAATAAATTGCTGCTGAACTTAACCAGTGGGTTCACAGAGCAAAAAGCAGCCTTCTTCCCAGAAAAGAATTCTAGAGGCTTTCAGTGCAGATCACACTATATGTACAGGCAATGACAGGAACCTCACACCTGGCAGTTTAGACATGCCATCTGGGTTCCTAAAACGACTGGGTGGAGAGTAAAACAACTCCTCTCAAAAAAGCAGGATGTGTAGAAGGTGAGAAGGTGCAAGAACAGAGCTCGCAGTGTGTTGGCCAGGTCAAAGCTGCGATATTTGAGCAAGTTTAGTCATCCGACTCCTCCTTTGTAAGACAGGTGTCTGGGCCAGGCACCCCACAGCATTCATTTCTTGAAGGCATGAAAGAGAAACTTCATCATTCTAGTGAAATTGGACAGCCTGAGAGCCATGAACCACGAGAAGATGGAAGAGTCAAAATCTGATTGCTAGGCTCCCAAATGCTGGCAACCTATGATATCAGTAGAAGTGATGGGTGCACTGATAATGGTATTTAATTAGTCACTACCTAATATAAGCCAGTTCAGTGAAACCTGCCCTAAAAGGTCTGAAGATACTCAAAGGTTGTTGAAAATGATATAGATCTGTTTCAACTTCACTGTTGAATCATTTTTATACAAAAAGTATTTCTGCCCACCACTGGAGTGGGATGACTTGAAAACGCCTGCAAAGCCTTATCACTACCAAATTTTGCAATGCTACAGCTGCAGCACATAACAGATCAGATACATTGCTGACTGGAAACGTGGCTGTCAAACTAAAAGTACAAAGTATAAGATCAAAACATTATGAATTACAGTATCCAGTACACCAACTGCCGTAATCCTCTACCTCAAAACAACTTGTCTGTGCCCAGCAGAAGGAATATAGCCAAGTTCATACCTGTTGTCTCTTCCATCCCCCCTTAAACCATCCTCTACACTCACTGCAGGAACCTAGTTCTCAACCGTATTTCACAGAAAATTGTTGCTGGTCCTAAAGTGATGGTGCTATGGACAAACCCCAGCTACTCATGTGCTGACCAGTTATACCACTGTTATCAGACAGGATATAGCAAGTCTGGGTTCTGCATGCTTTTTCCTTGGCAGGAAACTAATTTAATTTCTCTCATCAGCTACAGATTTTCACAAATCTTGTAAGAAAATATCAGTAAGACTTTCAAATTTATTGACAATGTTCCATATTTGAAATGTAAATGCCTAGAAGTATTTAAAAGATATGTATACCCCACCTGCTCTTTCTACTTCAGAGGCATCACCAGCTACAAAAACACGCTTTGCTCATAGCTCTCATGCTAGCATTCCCCCAGCTACATTACTCATACCTGAGTTATCTTAGACAACGAAGATTCTGTTGTGTTAATAATATATTAATTTAAGTTTAGTAAAACTTCAGGCACATACTGCATATTGTAAAAATTTTCTTTTTATATTCAGATAACATACATTTTCTCATTTTCCACCATGGGCATAATTCTGAATTCCCAAGCTCTGCTCCCTCCTCCCTGAAAGTTTGCTTTCAAGGTTTTCCTCTTTATTTTGTATCATATCTAGAGACTGCCATGACAGCCTCATAAACATTTTTTGCAAAAAGCAAACATACAGCATTACGGAAAGATACACAGCATGTTACGGATGTTAATTTACCTTCTGCAAGCGAACCTTCCCATATGCAAATTTGGGTGTTGTCGGAGGGATAAGACCTTCTGGTAACTGCTTATACTAGAAAAGGAAAGAGAAAAAAAACCCACATGAAACTTAAATAAAAACATGCTTTAACTGCATTCTCACTTACCGCTTCATAACTTACTACATGTAACTTTAGCCAAAGTTCTAGAACTTTGGCTAAAAGTAGATAATCCCAATGTGCTAAAGGATAAAAGCTGCATCTAGTCTAAGATTAAGCGTTTTTTTTTTAAAAAAAAAAAAAAAAAAACCAAAAAAAAACTAAACCATCTGACTTGATCACATATGGTAAACAATTTTTAATAACTATTCAACTCGAGGTAACAGTAAAAAGCATAGCGAACAAATGAGCTGCCAAAGAATCACAGTGCCCTTGGAGCCCTCCTGTGGCTAGAGCTTGCATTACTGTCTTCTATAACCCTCCTGCAGTCATCTCCCCAGTCCATGGGAGCTGAGTTAACTGTTCCAAGTTTGTAGGGCACCTGACCCCTCCCTAGCAGCACTTCTGTGTGGGAATTATTAGCTTCTTGTGCTTTTCCTTTCAGTGTTACTATACTCCACCCCCACCTGCTAATCCATTACTGTCTGGGCTGGCTTCTTTGAGAAGCAGGCCTTGAGACCACAGCCTCCTCCACAGCTCCATGAACCTTTGAGGTCTCATCATTAGCTTCCCTGTGGTCCTGGTCTAGACCACTGCCCAGTCAATCATAGGGAAACATGACAAGGCAACACTTGGACTGCCAGGCTATTTCTCTTTACTTCTTGCCCTATATCTCTAGGAATAACCACCTGAGATCAGCAAAGAGGTGAAGGGTGTCCACCACTTTCTTGGACACCTTTGAGGAGTGGCAAGTCTAGACAGTGAATTTCTGCCCCATACCCTAGCCTCCTCCCTTCTGAGCCTACTTGTACCCTGTAATGGCCACTCTTCCCATCTCTTCTTTCATTTACTGAACATGGCCCTGCCTGCACGTTATAAGAAAAAACTTCTGCAGATGAGATACCCATGTGATCAAGCAATCTAAGCCTACCTTTTAATATACATGCACAAATGACCCCCCTTGTGAAGGCTACCTTAATCTGAACATTCAGTGACTTCTGAATGCTTACTTTGGCAGCTCCTAGGGGGTTTTTATATAAATTTGGTGAGGGGCCAAAAGGGTATTTTTCTTAAGAGATTTTACTTTGATTTCGGCTTGAAAGTTTTAGCACAAGGCATGACTTGCTGGGCTTACACATGGTATATACACATGGTATATCCAGCATACAACTCTGCTCAGAAGCTTGCCTCTGCACCAAAACAAGGGGTTTTTTTGTTTAGTTGGTCTGTTTGGGGTTTTTTTTGGTTTTGTTGTTTGGTTTTTTTTAAACAGGCCACAGCAGTATAATTCCAAATGCCCTCCTGTCAAATCTCAACTATGGACTGATGAAAGTCTGATTTATATTTCTGGCAACAAGTTCATTTCTTCCTCTCTGTATTTGATAATAATCAAGATATTAAGACTTAAAGAAAAGAAAAACTGAATTCTCCCAAGAGAAGAAGTCAAAAGTAGGAAATTTCAGCCCAAATAATAAAATTTAAAGAATGCTGTCAGCAATTGAAAGAAGCTGTAGAGTAAAACCCTTCTTCTTTATTACATTTATTAACTGAAGGAAACAGTAAAGGAAGATTATAACATGTTAGCCCTATAGCACAGCTAACATGTTGAACACAGTCATTAGTTACAGGCAACTTAATTTTCTTTCATCAGCTCCACCCCAGACTGCAACTGAGCAGATAGACTGTTATGGGTTTAAAACCCACTGCAGAGACAGGAAAACTTCAGTGAGATCCTATGGATATGGAGGGTAAAAGATAAACAAACCACACCAAAAAAAGCTGTACCATGACCCAACACACCTTAGGTTATACTGAACACTTCAGATCTTATCAAGGCACTCTCACTGCACTAGAACACTACTTACATTTCAGATAGGGATCTTGCCTTGAAGAAAACAACTCAAAAACAGGAAGTTTGGGAATTTCTCTGGTGAGAAAAGCTGCATCAAGACAGGAGGTTCCCCTTGAAAGGCTATCAAAATTATCCCATCAACAGAAAGCTTAGGGGCAGTGGAGAAATTGAAGAACATGATCCACAGCAGGCCTTCCACAGGTATGGAGATAAAGGCATGCTCAACCCTAGAGAAAACGTAATACACTTTTGGGAGATCTACTCCCATCAAAAAGCTGTCTTTTAGTGAACAGGAATGTTGCTGGCATGCAACGGGACAGCAAGTACAAGCCTAAGCCTTGGGATTCCCATTGAACCTGTTTTTAAGCCTCATCTGAATGACCTCCAACGCAAGGCTATTCAAAATCCAGATGCAGGTTCCATGTTTCACTTCAGTCTCCAGTCTGTAGAGATACTGTGCATTTTTACAGCAAGGCAAAGCTGGTCCCACCCACTACCTACAATTTGTGGCATCACAAAACCAAGATGTGCTCATTTGGATAAGCACACTCCTCACAGAGGCCCAAAACCACAACATGAAGCTTGGGATACAGACAGCCAAAGCACTAAGCTGCAGTGCATATCAGGCTGACATCGAGTGATGAGCCTGAGCTAACTGAATGGCTCATCGATGCTGCAAGGGAAAGAGCTCTGATCACTCCTCCTCCATCTCTACTCCCAGCCAAACCCTTCCTGCCTCCCTCTGCTACTGTTGTGCCAGCACTGGCTCTCATCCAACTGAGTCGATTCAGCTTACTGACCTTCAGCTGAAAGAAAACAAACACAGCAAAAAAGCAGAGCTGAATCATTTAGGTGTCAGACCTGCACCTACCTGTACTCCCTCCTCTGAAAGGAAGGAAGGAGCCATCGGGACAGAAAGTACAGTCAGAGAGGTGCAAGATCTTTCCCCTTTTGTAACAACAAGCAGTTAGCTTGGCCTAATCGCCTTGTTCTACTTCCCTTCCCTTACCTGCAGAATGCAGTAAATTCAGGAGTAACTTAAACCAACACAAGAGTGAGAGTTTGCTGTACACCAGGGATGTTTCAAAGACCCATTCTAAATATGTCCTGGGGACACTCACCATACCAATGACTTCCCTCAAGGCAAAATATTTTTCTGTCAGATCTCCCGCTTCACTCAGTGGAGCATCATAGTCATAACTAGTGGGCTGTGGCATATAGGGCATATTAGCACCTAAGGGAGTGGGAAGAAAAGAAAAAAAGGCACTAGAAACAGTGGAAGAGTTGGGTTTTTTCAAAGGTATCAACTTTCAGAATTCTCTCCAATCACAGCCAGACTCTGCTACATTTTTAGATTCAACATAGGCCTTTGTATTTGGGATATGGCATAGAGAAACTATTCCTGATGGAGGACAACATCCTTCTGAGCTCACACTGCTCTGTTATACAGTCTTCAGAAATGTTCTGAAGCAAAACAAATTTATCCATGTTTCAACCGTTTCACAGGACTGGGTGAAGCAGAATTAGCCTTTGCAAAGATAAATACCATGTGGATTTAGTACAACATGCTGGTAATAGACAGAGAACAGCTAGTGCAGTCATCTTTTGTCATGTGAAAGCAGGCATAGCTTATTCTTTCACAGAATATATTACTACCTAATTCATAAACAGCTTTCCTACATCATTAGTATCATTTAAACAATTTCTTACCATTCCAATAGGCAAAGTTAGTCCCACCTATAAACATGTACCTAAAAAGGAAAAAAAGCCATCCACTTAAATCAGGTTTTGCTGAATTGGGAGGAAAAAAATCCCCCCCAAATTTACCTCTACTGAACACACACTTACAGGTTAACATTAGCGCCATGTGCCAGGATTTCATTAAGTGTTTTAGCTGTAGTTTGTGCAGGCACAACAGAATGACGGTGCCCCCAGTGATCCAACCATCCAGTATAAAACTCAGAATTAACCTGAAAGGAGGAAGGGCAAAAGAGGAAGGGAAAACATGAAGAGGGAACAAGAACAGAACGCAATGTGATTTAAGGTTACTAACTGTAAGAGGGAAGGAAACATAGCACCTTGACTCATTCGAGCCATTTTTAAACTACTATAAATACAGCAAAGTGTACACTAAGTCAGTGGTTTTCAGCAGATTACAAGTCAAAGAAATTAAAGGATTGTTTCAATAATTTTATAGGGACACTTTGAAAATAATTGGTTAAATACCAAAGAGCATGGATTTCCTCAGAACCTGCCAACATGAACATGTTTCAGATGCTTAGCATTCAAATAAATGATAGAACCAAAACATTCTCTGCAGAATAGCATACATAGACTAGATGTAATAAAAAATTAATCTTTTGAATACTCAAACTGCATTCTAAACAATTTTATAGCACAGAGTTAATCTTGTACCCTCAACAGGCCTTCTCCCTTTGTCAAAAAGGCTTCCAGTTATCTCACATCCCATTATAGCTTGTATAAAACCTCTAGGGTAGCTGAAAACAGGAAGCAACTTCTAACCTGCCCTTTTAATTTTGCTTTTAACTTCCACCCACACACGCACCTCACTAACTCATCTAATCATACTTACTGTTTCCTGCTGCTTTGTAAACATTTGCCTCAGCAAGGAAAAATACTGAAACAAAATCAATACCTTTTGAGACTAGAGTAGTATTGGCACAACAGCAGTTAATGTGGATTTGACACACAGAGAAGCTCCTCTATTCAGTTTTTCTGACTGACTTGGAAATTGTGTCTTTGTAAAACTGTCCAACACACTGTTGTCAACTCCTCTCTTAACCACTGCAAGATTAGGAATGATACAAGAAATTTAAGTGAGAAGACATACCAAAGGGCCTGTAGGTTCACTGCCCCTTTGAGCTAAGAATGCTGCTGTGACATTGCCACCTATAAGAAGATAAAAATAAAACTGAGTTGCTACATCCATGACTTTTTGGTCCTTCATTTTACTGAAAGGTGTCTTATCTCCCTTCCAACACCTAGCAAAAATCCAGACAAGAAAGTTACTTCAGAAAACAGAGGAATCAGTACCTGTGATTCCAGTGTTTAAGTTGCAGAACTTACTTAAAATACATACATACATGCATGTATGCCTTTGCTTTTGAGATACATCTTCTGAAAACCCAGCTTTTCTCAGGAATAACATCCTGGCACCAAAAAAGTCTGAGATGTGTCAGAATTGCTACTTGGTCATTGGAAAATATAGGTCTGGGGTTGTGGTACCAAGACTATGGGGAAGAACAGAAGCCAGGCTATCTCTTGAGTTTCACTTCTGATCACTCCTAGTGGCTCAAGCCATAGGGACCAGAAATAACTACTTCCATCAGTAGCTCATAAATAATACACATGAAGGAGTTCACAATTTCAATCTACTTGTAAGAAAACAGGTTCCTGCTAAGCACACATCTTTGACTGTAGAGAGAATAATGTACAAAAGAGACCACATGTAAAAAATATGGAAAGATCCATCTTAGAGTTTGTTTCTTGTGCCTTAAGCCTATTTTGCCAAGTCTGTGCAGTACATAAACATTTACATCATTAACTCTCCTATTATATCAAAAGGGCACCTTCTGAACACACTACAGTTGCTTAGCCATTCTTCAGGCCTGTAACACAGCAAATTGTGGCAGTGTGCACATTTTTAACGATAATCTTCAGCAGTAATTTTTTTCCAGTAACCACTGGCTTAAAAAGAAATTAACTACAAGGGCTGGATTCTGGGGCAGAGGACATTAAAAAAACCAAAACCAAACCAACAACCAAAAAAACCCAACATCAAAAAAATATTAAAACCATCAATGGAATCAATGTCAACTATTACTGCTATTTTTTAGGAGACAGGCACTATGAGCAGTGTAAATTGTTTATTCATGATTTCATGATGCAGGGAAGTGATTATGACTCTCTATCTGGGTATTTGTGGGTGATTCTTGTATGTTTAAGAGTACATCAAATATCCATAAATGTCTATCGCCCCATTTAAACAAAGCAGTCAGGTTTGTCAAGCAGTCAACTCAGTTTGTCCTGCCACAAAACACAACACAACAGAATTTTTTGGTAACAAACAGCAGTCTCCAACCTGGGGCAAAGTCCACTGTTGCATAAAGGCCCTGAAGAGCTCCACATTTCAAGTGAAACTGGCTTGCACCATCAGTTGTGAACAGCACCACCTCATCCCCAAGATACTGTCGAAAGAGCTTCAGAAGGGAACGCAGATAGTCATAGTCACAAGCGAAGTAGCTTCCATACTCATTCTCTACCTGCACAGTAAAAGCAAGTCAATAAAGCAGTAGCCAATTTCAGTCTACACCCGATACCAAAAATGGAAAGCCCAAATCCAACCTTCCTCTTCCTTTGACGGCAATGCTGAAAATGTCACTTTAACTCCAGACCTGAGAAGTAAGAGAAGACAACAGTTCTAGACACTCATTCCTCTCACCTGTATCTTACAGCGGAGCAATCATTGTGTGGAAGCAAGTAATTTTCCTACAGAATTGCCCTCCATGTAAAAATCTCTACCCTAGCTACTTAGCAAGTGATCGAAACACAGTCTCTATTAAAAACAGAGCGCTATGACCCACCTCCCAAACAGAACAATAAAACCATATAACAGGTTGTGACATGATCAAAACTGCAGCAAAATTGGACCTGCAGAACAGAGACACCTACAAGCGGCTCACATGAACAGCAAAGCCCTGCAATGGGCTCAAAGGACTGAGGGGAGAAGGACAACCCTACTACTACTGAGAGGTACGCATCTTTCCCAAGGGGATGGACCTTCAAGCTCCAGATTCAATGCCACATACAACTGAAAGTTATTTCTGAAAATCCTGTTATAAGCAACTTATTCCTGCCAAGGAGTAATTTTGCCTGGTGCTTTTCCTCAATAGATATAATACATTGTTCAAGAGCAATGATCTTGGGCATATTATAAGAAGGGCCTCCTATCCCATCCTGTGCCAACCAGGGAGTTTTAAAAAAAATTAACACAAAGCTGTTATGGTGAAATACTAAGAATATCAAACAATCACCACTGCACCTCTGGAAGGAATTTAAGAGAGAAGCTACTCACTACGAACACACAACGTTGTGTCCTGAAACATTTACAGCTTAAGTTAGGTGCGAATAACTAAAAAGAATAAATTGAGGCCGTTTTTGTCACAATTTAGGCTTACTCCATACTGCTTTTGCTTCTACCTGAAGGTATCCTTATTCTCCTTTTGCCTGTCAGAGGGTTTCAGGCAATTTTAATGTATTTTGGCTTTATGTGAGAACTGACATGAAACTCAGATCTCAAAAGCTCCACAAGTTTCCTCTATTGCTTTCTATAGTTGTGGGAAACAACTTTGATACAGCAGACAAGGGCTCTCTGAATTCTAGAAACAGTGCATTCGGTTCTTTAGGATAAAGGATTTAATCAGAATCTTTCAACTACCTGAAACTGTTAAGGAACATCAGTGACATTACCACCCAACACCCATGGAGTTTCTGCAAGAGCAATATAAGCATCCATGCTGCTTGGGTTCATTTGATTTTTCAGGAAGTTACCTGCACCATGATGATTGGACCTCCATTTTGATAGAGGTGAGGCCTCATCTTTGGCAAAAGGACACCCATCCATTTCTCTACTGCTGCCAGGTAATCTGTGATACACAAAGTATAAATGTTCCACAACTTTTCTGCTTTTTGGGGGTTTTTGTTTTAAATTATATATGGGTAGTTTTTACCTAGTGTTCTAAGTAAGTATAACAGAACAGAATTTAATGAACTGATGTGCTGTTATACTCGTTCATTAATGTCAGCTTCCAGTACAGCTTACTAAAAAATAAAACATTTAAATACTGATGAACTTTGAAAATCACCAGAGAGACTTCAATATGTCTCACACAGATTGTCTTAATACAGAAAACAAATTCAAATGTTGCTATGTGTACTGCTTTTTTAAATAGATAATTTATCCCACAATGAGCAGAACTGAAGTCATATATGATATATATCTTTGTCCCCTAATACACACTCCAATAACCACATTAATCTCCTGTCTCATCTCATCCTTCTGTGTCCGGTCCGTGACTAGGTAGCACACAAGAATGCTGTAACTAGTTCTGAAATTACATGCACACTGACCAGCCAGGAAGGATTCCCATAATGAGTGGCCAGTCAGCCACTGCAAAACCGAAAAACTCAAAGCTGAGAGCTACCTGTCTTTTCCTCAATGGTGACAATGATTTCTCTCTTGGCACCAATTTTCATGAAATTTGTCAATACCTTGGAAACTTTCTACCCTACTTTGTTCATTCTATATACTTCTTGAATGCACACTTCTAATTAACAGTACTGAAGATTCTACTCACAAGATAACTTAAGCTGAAATATGAATTAACTAGTAATGGCCTCAAACAGCAAAGTTGCCTTGCTGCTGAAGTGTATTTTTACTAGTACTTTTTGATGCCTCTACCTGAATCAGAAGACCTGAGAACAATAGATTTCTTCTCCAACAGCCATGCAGGAAGACCTCCCTGGGAAAAGAAAGGGAATCAGTCAGTGATCGCTCTTGGGAAACGTAAGAAGAATTTAGCCTATTATCAAAACATATACTGAGACCTGAAGATTGATTTTCTACAAGTAATAATTCCCAATGAAAAAAGAAATACAAAGTTTGCGTTGTAAGAAGACACTTAGGATGCATGGAGTAATACACTAAACCAAAAGTCTTGTCCAAGGACACTCGAAGTACGTCTGTCTACTTTAAGACAGAAATACTTGCATTAGATTTACCCTAGAAATGAGGTAACTGTTACAAAAGGCTGTACCATGTCCCATTCTGCACAGATGTAAGGTCCAGCTCTCAGGATAACCAGCAAACCAGTATCGTTAGCAAGCTGCAGGAAATACTCTAGATCTTTGTCACCAGAAAAATCATACATGTCCACCTGGGGTTCATGGTAGTTCCATGGCACATACCTATGAAGAGAGAAGATCACCTTCCATTAGGAAACCGAGACTAAACCAGATCTCCAAATAACAACTGCTTGTACTACACACCCCAGAGATCTGTAATGCTGAACTGATCTTCAGATCAGTAAAATAAAAGAATCACTCTAGGGCCCTTCTTCTGTGAGGTACTTCATATGGCAGAAGGTGTTAAAATTAATACTGAAATAAGGCTTAGTACTTTGCAGTATGTCTGCAGGAGTCCATACCAATGCAAGAACAGGTTTTGGTAGTGCCATTTTGAAACCATGATGTCTGTTAGCAAGTCAGCTGCCAGCTGTATAGAGGTAGGAGGTTTGTGAAGAGATGAATACTGTAAACCACTCGCAAAAGGAAGTGGTCAAGAACAAGCTTGCCCAAAACCAGCACATGACCCTTTGTGAATGGATCACCCATTTCGCACAGGGAACACCAGCTAGGCTGACAGGTCCATGCTGCTGCCACTGCAAAGTTTAAAAATGTCTAAGCCTCAAATGATATTGCATCTAGGTCCTGAAAGTTTTCATTGACCAGGAGCAACCCCTGTTCTGGAAAACTAGCGTGGGAAAAACGGTCAAGTTAGAGGATACTAAAGTGCCCAAGAGCCTGGACAAAGTAAAACTTCATTTCAGCCAAGTAATAAAGCTGCCAAACAAGCAGATAACCATTTGAGAGAACACCTCTCTCCTACTTCAAGGACTTAGGAAAAATACAACTTCATCACAGAACATCTCACAGAAGAAAAAAAAAATAGCCTTGGTTGCAGGACAACAAAGAAGCATGTTATCTACCAACTACTATGCGTAGCATTGTAGCTTATGGACTGTGAGAGTTTTGGCTTGGGATAGTACTAAATGGCAGTCGTAGCATGGACAGACATTAAAATTAGGGATGAGTACAGCCTGAGCAAAGATTCAAGAGAATGGGAAAACTCATTCTCCATGCATTTACTTTTTTGCACATAGTTTTGCAATCTCTCGAAGACAACTGTTGCCACTGTTCCAGAGAGAACAAATTTGAGAAAAATCCGTAAAACCAAAACTGTGGTTAGTCAAGCAAAGATCCTCTCAGGCAATACTTTTCTTACTGTCTGGGTTTGTTTATGTGTTCCAGAGTTAATTTTGTAAGAACTACCCAGGAGGGAAAGAAAGTGCAGAAAACACTGCTTTCAATAAGCAAGAAAAACAGGAACCCTCACATGAGCACAGTACTGAAATGGCCACACTCAGACATACACGCACTTGAACATCAAATACAAACATTACAATCTTTCAGCAATGTTAGTTAATATTATAGCCTCACAAATGCCAAAATCTTAAGCCTCTGTTTGAAAAGATAAAGCTTAAAATTTGTATGCCAGAATGGAGTCAAAGCAACGCACTCAGGCATCAAAATGCAGATTTTCCCCTCTAGGCAGTGTATTTTATTTCTTTGTCAACCTGATCTAATTGTTTCCGAAGCACATGATTAACCCACTTGTAGAACAAGCTAAATGTGCATTTAATGACTATATGAACCACGTGAAAATACATTCAATGTTAATTTAGTTTTGTGTGCTTTGTCTAAATTTCAAGCAGAGGAGCAAGCTGATTGCTGACATTCAAGATCAAAGTGGATAAAGTAGAAAACTATTTAAAACAAAAAAATGACCAACCTACCTCGAAAGAAGCCAATACCATAGTACCAAATTGTGCTTACTTTCCCTGTTCCGTATACCATTATCCAGGTTATCACTACAGAATAATTTTAGTTTGCTCTAAGCTATTAGAGCTATGTTATTTTCAAAACTATTCCTTAGAAATACAGAATTACTTTAAGTTATTGTCCTGGTTTCAGCTGGGATGTAGTTAACTGTCTTCCTAGTAGCTGGTACAGTGCTATGTTTTGAGTTCAGTATGTGAAGAATGTTGATAACACTGATGTTTTCAGTTGTTGCTCAGTAGTGTTTAGACTAGAGTCAAGGATTTTTCAGCTTCTCATGCCCAGCCAGGGCACCTGACCCAAACTGGCCAACAGTGTATTCCATACCATGTGACGTCCCATCTAGTTTAGGAACTGGGAAGTGGGGGGGCAGGGATTCGCCGCTCCGGGACTGGCTGGGTGTCGATCGGCGGGTGGTGAGCAATTGCCCTGTGCATCATTTGTACATTCCAATCCTTTTATTACTACTGTTGTCATTTTATTAGTGTTATCATTATCATTATTAGTTTCTTCTTTTCTGTTCTATTAAATCGTTCTTATCTCAACCCAGGAGTTTTACTTCTTTTCCTGGTTTTCTCCCCCATCCCACTGGATGGGGGGGGAGTGAGTGAGCGGCTGCGTGGTGCTTAGTTGCTGGCTGGGGTTAAACCACGACAGTCCTATATATATGACTATGGATTTGTCAAGGACAGATAAACCTAACTCCATTTGTTCACAGGAAAGTTTGCCTAAAGAATTAGAGGAAAGGAAAAAAAGGTAGTGTCTCTTGACTTAGCAAGGCTTTTGGTACTTCGCTGTATGACATCCCTATAAGCAAACAAGGAGAAAAGAAAAAAAAAAAAGAGGCTAGTTGGTATAACATTAACATAGAATAAAAATTAACCACAGAAGAACAACCCACAATTTGCTGGGAAAGCAAGGGGATATTTTGACGAGCACGTCAAGTCTCTTTGGTAGCTCTAACTATATCCAAAGCTTTTATTGACATCTAGGTGATATAATGCACAGCACGGTTTGCAAATCCATCAGTGAACATGGTCAGGAATGTAAATGCTCTTAACTAATGAGCAACATGGTCTGATATCAACAAGGAACTAAGAGTTACCACTTTTTAATTCTCTCTTGCATAGGAAAAGGCAAAAAAATACAAAATGAGAAGGACAACACATGGAAGTGGTATTAATAGGAAAAGGGTCTGCAGGTTCCACTAAAAAGTACCATCTGACTATGAATCAACAACACAACACTGCAGTAACAGGCAAAGCTCTTTCTGGGAGGAATTAACAGGCACATTGATGTAGGAACTCATTCACTGAAAAATGCTTCCAGCAGAGAGCTGCACCTGTTTAAGCTAAATAAAGATGACTAGATCCTAACTTCATAACAGTTTCTCACTGCCTAAAATACTACTACAGAAAGACAGCAACTGCTTATACTCCTTTCTCTTTAGGCTACTGAACAAGTTGTAACTACAGGTTTATATGAGAAACAGATTCTAACTGTAATTTAACTATACCTTGTAACCTGTTAGTTATGAAAATATACACATGGGAGAGTTTTATGAACTTGTTCTAGAAACAAGTCTGAAGGTCTAAATATGCTTAATAGTGTCTTAGGTAAGGACAAAAGGGTTTCTCCAGATCCCTTACACTCAAGATGGAAGAAGACAGAAAAATTCTTCCAGAAACAGTTTTAATTTATGTCCCATGCTTCCCCACAAGGCCATAAAAAAAAGCAGATTTTAGTGGAGAAGGGAAGAAAGTTAAGAAAAAAAATTTATGCAAAATACTTTCTTACAGAATGAATCATGATATAAACATATTTTAAACACTGGTCTAAAAATTATTACTAATACACTTTAATCCCCCAGTATATTTTCTACAGCTAGCAATGGACTCAAATTAAATCATTTTACTTTGAAATTGTTATTATAAGCAAGTGTAATTCCTATATACCATTGTACAAATTTATAGTTAGTTGTTAATGCTGTACTGCTTTAGCTACAGAATAATGGATTTATAAAGGAATGCCATATTCCTTTTTCAAACTTGAAATGTGGTATTTCTGTATTTGAGTAATAGTATTTTCTCTCCATTTACATACAATTTCTAAGCTTTATCCTATAACCTTCCTTTTCTTTAAAAGTCACAGTTTTCCTGTCCTATTTCAGAGAGATGTCAACAGGCAAAAAAACCCACTTTAACTACCTTAATGTACAGGATAATTGTCTCTGTAATACCAGGGGTTTGGGTTTTTTTAATATTGTAAAATTAAATAGCTTGCATTAATTTAATAAATACATCAACACTTTATACATGCTAGTTAAATTACACATTTATGAATCTTTAGAAAAAGTAAATTGTGCCTACTTTTTATTTAATAGATATTCTAAACAGCAACTCTTTCTTAGAGGGAGTTTCAGTTTCTACAGGTTTACAGTTGTCTACTCATTAGTCAACAAATACAGTAAAACAAATAAAATGCCAGTAAGGGAAGTGCGGGTTCTTCCAGGAAGCCTCTCTGCTGATCTGTAAATATTTAGCCCCATCTAGTGGTTAATTATTTATCTCCTCCATGCCAAAAAAACCAAAACAAACCACAGACTTTCAGTCCTTTCCAGATGTCTTTGACAGCATGTTTCTCCGTGGCAGGAACAGCTGAGGAACTGCAATCAAGGACAGTTACCCTTGTGTGACCAGATGCGTCTGCGTGCTACCTGCTGTGGTCGGGAGTGGAGCTCATAGGTACGCCTCCATCATCTGCTGGGATGTCACACCAACTATTACATCAAATTTCAACCTGCTATTTGGAAGGTTTAGGCCTTGATATTTTAAGCTTTAATGGAAGATCAAGCTTCCTGTCACCTCTTTTCTCATATTCTGTTATTGCTTAGATGTTTCCAGGCGCAGATGGTTATATAAATATACTGACTTCACCCATTCAAGAGTTCCAGACAAGCTGCTGACTCAGTCATTAGCTGAACAGCGCATCAAGGCATAGCAAGTCTTTTGGAAATGAGGCAGCAGAGAACAGAAAGGAGAGCAGGTCTGGCTTGCTTTGACCATAAAGTATTTACAAGGACAATCCTGTAATAAAAGGATCCTGTTTCCCTTGAAGTGGTAAGCGTCGCTGGGAGCACCTTGATAAGAACACTGAAGGCTCCCGTATTTCAAATTACAGCAAGACCCTTCCCTGCCTCATGGGAAAAACCCCAAGCAGCAAAATCACAGTCTTCAGAGGTGGTCCCGAGGTTGGGAGTCCAACTACAACATCCTGCCAGAAGGTCTGGCAGTGCTGCCGCCCATTCCAGAACGACTTCACACAACTGGTATCTCAGTCCCTTGCTAATAATTTTACTGATCCAGGAAGGAATAGGCAAAAGAGAAAAGAAAACCACAACTAAATCATCAACTAGACCAATTTCCATTTTTACCAAAGCCACACAAAATCACAGCAGAATTGTTCTGGGGTAACATGAAAATTTATTGCTTTATCTCAAATAATCAAGAGCAGTAAGGGTTGATTATCTGCAAACTTCAAAGAAAAAAGGGGGTTGGTACATGTTTTTGGTTTGGTGGGGTTTTTCTCAGCATTGAGAGAGAGAAATCAGTGTCAAGTGGAAAGACCCACGGACTTGATTCTTGTAGAAAATGCAAGGGAGAGGGGTACTTTCTGCATGTAAGATAGCTCCTAAATTTCTATCTTTCACCATAGCAGGAAAAAATCCAAAGGTAAGCAATGATGTGGGAGAAAGTTAAAGAATCCCAGTGGGCTCTACAAAAAGAAAACAAGGTTGTAAAAAACCTGTTATCTGTCATCTGTGATCCAGCAACAACACCTAAGGCCATAGGTCACATAACCACAGGGCAACACTTGCTGCCTGTACTGTACAACTTGGGTCTCCCAAGACTGACAGAGAACAGTTGACACCAGCAACACAAGACAATCTCCACTCCTTCCTGCACAGCAGAGGGACACTAGTGCAAAACAGTAAAGCACAGATTAAGAGATCTCAATAAGTTTAAAAAAAA